GTATCGCTTGTTGGCAGCACTGGGTAATAACGGCCGGCTGGTGCCGTGTAGCCTGGCGCGAGTAGACGGCAGCTGGACGGTGAAGCCAGAGTCAGTCTCCGTGAGCGATAACAGAAGGAATCGAACAGGCCAGGGAACGATGGTGACAACGCGAGACCGGCGAGTATCAGGCAATACCAGCAGCCCTGACAGCTGTGTTTTCGTAATGTGCAGCACTTTGAGACATCTCGCAAGCCACAGCATAGGTGGTCATGGAACCTCCAGGTATGGAGATACGAAAGCAGAGGTTAGGGTAGGTGTAAGAGATGAGAGAGCCGGAATGACGTTGCCTTGCATCGCTCGCTTTGGCCTGAGCAACTCCACTTGCCCGAACAGTTGCAGCAGCGGGGAGAAGGAGAGACGCACGCAAATCGGTGGAAAGCGCGAGCACCTCCGCAGCACCTGCTCGTCAGAAGTTGCCGAGAGGCTGTTCGCGGTTTCCGTTTTGTCTCATTCCAATCAAAGTTGAAGTCATCGTGGCGACGCTGATTGGCTGGGCAAAGGGGAAGGGTTCAGTCTGGCGGTGGCAGGTACGGAGCAACTCGTGGTGCCTTCCCTTCTTCCATCCTTCCAGACACAGGCGGTTTGAGTGGAGTTGGGCAGGCACAGGAGCAGGAAAGTCCGACCCCTCAGGCCAAGCCAAGCGCGGAGAAATATGGAGCCAGGCACAAGACTTCAGCTCCAAGTGCTAAAAGTAGAGCCCGATTGCCAGCCTAGCAGCTGGGGAAGGAGCGGGAAGGGAGCCACCGCCATTCCGCACCTTCTGCTAGTACTAGTTCGCCAACTTAATTCAACATCCATGATCTTACCAGGTTCGTGGACTTTACATGGCACAGCATGTGATGCTTCTTCTTGCGAGAGGCGCTGCGTCTCCGGAGCATTACAGCCTTGATGGGCCATGGCGTGAACCATGAACCCTGGATCTCGGTCCTGCGCCATCATCCAGCCATTGGCCTCGTGTGGTGCGGTGCAAATGTGCAGCCAAGGTGCCACAAATGCCCGCGAAGCGTGGGGAAACGCAACAATGTCTCGTGCGACGAGACAGCCACGCGAAAACACAAAGAACCGCCCACCCTCGCCCTCGCCCTCTCTTCCGATGCGAGGTGTGGAGAATCGCCGGTGCTGCTCCTCGACCTGAACCTCGACCAAGTTGCTCGACCAAGCACGGATCCGGCCCTGCCTCGGCTGCTGCTCGCCGGGGCTGTTCGAGATATTTTCAAGCTTCTTCACACCCCTGCTCGCTGAGCTGTGGCTACGACCCGAACAGATCAGATCCCCGTGGTTGCGAGCGTTCCATCTGCTCCATGGCTGGATCTTCCAAGCCGTGTGGGTGCAGTCGAAGACGTGCTACTCTCACCGGTCCCCACTTCCAAGCAGTACGGTTATGACGAGCTTCCTGGTGTGGTAACACCTAGAGCTAGCTCTTTGGTTAGGTACTGTAGCTTCGAGTGCATTTCGAGCCTGGCGTCGCCTCCAATGGTCAAACACCCGCCAGACCGTTCGACATGTGCCTCGTCTGACTTCGTCTCTACATTAGATCGCATCTTAGGAAGAAAATACTCACGAAGAACGTCAATGGGATATGGAGTTAGCTCGTCAATTTCCCAATCACAGCAAGCCTGTCTCTATACAAGGCTATGGAATAAAACGACCTGAAGGAAGCCACTCCGAACAGACGGCCAGTGTCTTGATTTTACCTGCTGCGTCTTTTCAACATGCAGGTCGTAGCGCATGTGACCCGCGGCCTATAAGCTGCAGTCGACAATGGTCTTTGTGGTACCATACTGGCCTTACGATGAGACGATCCTCATTGGTCTGCTCGCAGTTGGACGCCAATCTTGTTCTGCCGCGACACCGGCCTGTATTGCACACACTGACAGTCAGCTCCGTTGGGCGCTACGGCTCACTCTCTTCCCGACCTGGAGGCGATGCCACTGTTGGGTGCGTGGCTTCTTTCCCACGCCAAACTCGGACATGCCTGGAACTCTCTATTCTCTCGTTGGCCAAATCGGCGTTGATGGCTCCGGTGCTATGCGTCGTGCTGGAGCTCTACTTCGCACACATCGCCAGGGCAGCGACTGCGCAAGGCCGTATCGGGCCATTCATCCTCTCTCGACGGTACGTGCCCGCTCTTTCTCAGCAGCTGTATGGAATGCCGGCCCGATCGGGGAAGCCCAGGCAACCTTTGCTTCAATGAGACCTTGAGGAATTAATTGGGCTTGCATCCCGACTAATTGACCCCCCCGGTTGTGTCCGCAACCCCTCAGTTGCCATTAAATACATACACTTTAGCAACGGGATCCATGACTTTCGCTTTCTCACCGAGTTCGCTTCTCCTCCTCCTTGGAAGAAATCACAGCTATCATCGTTTAGCCTTGGGATCCAGCCACTTAGACCATAGGCCAGCGCCTATGCACACTTCGGCAACACGCCCCCAGATTCTAGTCCGCGCTACCCATCATCCCTGCTTTACCACGGAGGAGATCCCTGGGTTTCGAGGATACAGCCGGCACCAACAGCGTCGGCAGCACAGCAACAGCAACACCAGTGTCCCCGGAGCACGTCCATCATCGGTCACCAGCGTGGCGGCGGCAGCACGGGACCGTCGCTCCTCTTGGACGAGTGTAGCCACAGCGGGTGCGCTTCGCAGGTCGGCGCCGCACATTGGACTTCGCCGACAGCCCAACGCTAGCTGGCTCCCTACTTACATGCCTCCTCTGTCTCTGCCTCTCTCACTCTCCGGCCAGAACTTGTTCCATACGAGACCACACCGGTGACGAACACTCGTGCTTGGAGATTTGCGCTTCTCCCGTGTTCCCGCTCCTCCTCGGCCGCCCAGCATTTCGCTCCACCTATCGTTTGACATAGCGAAAGCCAACCAACTCTGCCCCCAGGAATGGTTCTGGTGGCACCGGAGGAATTCCACCCCTCCCCTGGCGCTGTTCAACTCTCCCGGTGGTTTGGTGCACAGCTTTGGTGTACCTTGTTGATACTGCCTTGTCTCTGGAGTCTAGTTGATACTTGATTCTCCACGTGCCAGTACCTTGGACTCTATTTCTGTTACTACGCCGCATCTGTCCAACACCCCCTTTCTATCTACTGGCATCATGGTAAGCAGCCTTCCTCACCCCACGACGGTAGCCTGCATAGATATATCTGGCACTGCTTCCCGCCGTCTGATGTTTGAGTCTTCGTCACAATTGCCCTCAACCTTTATGCTCCCCCGTCTCTTGCTGGCTCCCTTTCACCAACTCCCATCCCCGTACGACATCGATTCAGCCTACCTGACGTACCTCCCTCTTCCCCTCATCACCCTTGAGCGGCGCGGTCAAGCTAACCTTCATACAGGCTCCACGTCGAAAGAGAGTGAGGGCACTGGGCACCTTTGATGTGCTATCGGTGCCTCCGCTGCCTCTGGCTCCTGTCGTAAACACGGAGTTCTCACAATTGCCCCCTGATGCTTCACAGCTCTTTGTAGGACAAGCTACGGCGGTCCCTGGCTTTTCTTTCGGTTACTGCGAACACGCATCTGCATACACGTCACCCTTCACATCAGGCCATACATCAGGATACGCGCCTGAATATACACCTGGATACACACCGGGCAACACATCGGGCTACCCGCTTGACTATTCTCCCGTTTGCCCTTCCGGATCACATCCGTATTCACACAAACGCAGACGACTAGAGGGCTTTTATCAGATGCCTTCCACAGACGAGTCACCCTCAGCTGGCACTGGCTATCAGGAGAAACCACCTGTGGCGAGTCGACATGACCACCAGCAGGTCCATGATGCAACGTCAATCATCCCGCGATGGGCACCTGCCATCTCTGAAGTTCCACCTCTGAGCTCCCCTTTGGCTTGTATGGCAGAGTCTATTTCCGCTTGCTGTAACTTCGGATGGCAGCATCCCACCGGTCAGCAAAATTCCTATCCGCTGCTTTGTGACTCCTTGCTAGTGCCAAGGACAAACGGCTGACGACTTGGACTCCAGGATACCAGCCTCTCCCCGCTCCGACGGCAGTGGTGTATGAACCCCCTCAGCCGTTTACGATGGAAGCGGTACCACCCGTACCAGCTCAGACGGTGCAGCCCATGCAAAACCTTGTGTCTAGCGCTGAAGCACTTCCCCAAGCTACGCCACTTCAGGATGATCAACTCAACTTGAATCCCTCTGCCCTTGACGACTATCCCGTCCTCGGCCAAGCCTCGCTGCAGCCTCTGATCCAACCAGCTTTGGAGTCATCTTTACTGCCAGAGCCGCCATCCATGGAAAATACGGGCAACGACCCTTATCTGCTCACTCAGATAGGCCATGAGTATCCCAATCAACTCGCCTCTTCGGAACTGTATAATTTCACAACGGCCACAACAGCGATGCCAATGCCGTCTATCGATGAGAACCCGTTAGATACGAATTCTGTTCTGCCGCTGCAATATGGTCCAGCCCCCCTTGTTCCGCTGGTCCACCCTCGTTTGGTGACCATTGACATTACACCCTCGGAGCCGTATGGTTGTTATGACGCTCCCGCGGTGCAGACTTCAGTCCAACAGGTGCCACACGATGATGGGGTGGACTCAGCTGTTCAAAGGCAAGAGCCGGTGGCCGAGAACAACCAGCCGCCTGCTCAGCGAAACGGCAAGCGGGGTCCGTTTCGAGACCAAAGTCTTCGAGAACAAACAGCCCAAACAAGAAAGATGGGTTCTTGCATACGATGCAGAATGCAGCGCATACGCGTAAGTGATGGCTTGCACCCCTGCGCTTTTCAATGTGCGGCGATGTGCCCCATTGCCGTGTAACAGAGCAACACTCGACATGGGATGGAATAGGCTAACACAGTGGTACCCCTGCAGTGCGAGTTCAACTCGGATATTCCAGGCGGCAGCTGTTTGACATGTAAGAAGGTAGAGAATACAAAGGCTGCGCGGCTGCCTTGTCTCCGATACAAGATCACCGATATGACCCTCTACAAGCCGGGTCAAGTCCCAGGTTACGAATGGACACAAAGATGGAACAAGAACTCGTCTGATCCCATTCAGCTTTGGGCTTCGCGCGAAGTCAAGGTCATTTACATATCTGTAGGCTTTTCAAACAGGTATATGCCACTGCAGGTGCGTCGATTTGTTCCGCGAGACGGCGATAAGCTAGAGCGGACATGGGACTATCAAGGGACCAAGAAGTCGGTTACCATTCCGCCATATGCACTGATCGACTTGGAAGCGGGAAAATCGGCGTACACCCGGTACATCCGAGACTCCATGACCGACATATTTCGAAACATGCTTGGTGATAGCGACAACCTCTTGTACAAAACGTACCTCCAAGCTTGGCACATGTGGAAAGACCCGGCAACTCCACCAGAAACGTTTGAACTCCTCAACTGGACGCTTCGGCTGTGGATAGCCGTCCGCCTGTCGACCACGTCGGCGTTTATCGCCGGGAAAGAGAAGCTGGGCATGACCAGTGATATCCTGGACGATACCAGTCCCAACCCTGGGAAGATCCCGCTGCCCCCTGTCTTGGGCGCGCAGATGGATATGATATTGATCCAGCATATTCAGACTAAACTTCGGCATGAGCTTTTGGACAACCTTCAGAAAGTAATGCTCAAGAACAAGCCGTCAAGCTGGCTGGTGACGTACTTGGTAGCATTCATTCTGCTCCACAACGTCGCCCTGATCACGAAACATGATGCGGGCTATGCTCGCAAACACGGCATGAATGTGAGTTTTCTCCCATAAGAGAAGTTGAAGGGAGCAGACATCGGCAACCAGCAGCCATGCCAGGGGCGATTGTCTTCAACCAATTCGCCCCCCCAGTATCAATCTGCTAACTGGTTTTACCCTGCAGCGCCGGTTTGCTCGAGAAGGCAAGGTGCAAGAATATCATCTGGGTGAGTCTTTCCCCCCTTTGCTTGGCATCGTATGCACGCACATCTGACAAATTCCGCCTTTCCGACGGGCGTGTTGCATTATAGGAGCAAATATCATCCTTGCCCACTTTCACTACTGCAACAAGGGCGTGGCTCCCTTCTCGGACGAGTGTGAGGATCAAGATCTGCGGACATTAGCGCATCTTGATGAGGATAAGATCCAGTTTGTTCGGGCGACCAGGGCATACGTCCAGCGGCATAGTAAGTACCCGGATATTACCACCATCATGTCGGCGAACCAGATTCCCGGAGTCGCGCTAATCCATGACTGCGATTGCCAGAGCGAGATTGGGAGCAACTCCGCGCCAGAGGGGAGTACGAGAATGACTTCTACTTCGTAAGCCAACTGTTTGACGAGAAGTGGCATCCCAGGAACACCGTCTGGTAACTTTGCATTTGGATCTTGCGACTGTTTCCTTTCTATCAATCAGCCTGACCGAGAAGGTCGATTGAGGGTGGCAAGAATACTCGTCGAAGCGGTGAGAGTGTGGTACTGCGTGTGCGCAGTAGGCTTGGATGAAAGGGCAGGCTGCAGGCTGCAGGTACCCCTATGCTGAGATTGGCTCTGACAGTGTGCCGACCATGACAGTATCTTGTTCCACGGTAATACGAAATAGTACAAGTAGTGGCTTCTATCGGCCAGGGGCATACGTACATACATATGTACACTCTTGATTACCAGGGATACCGTAGGTAGTACTGCTAGTCGGAATACCCCATACGCTAGAGGGGACTGCACAGCTGTTTCGCAGGCCGATCCGGTCATGGGGTGTCGCTTTATCCTTGTTCAGTGGTAGCCACAAAGTACGAATGAACTGCAGATGAAGATGCTCGCATCGAGCAACGGGCAAGGGAAACACGCTAGGATGTATCGAGGCTCTTGTCTCTTTTCTCACCGGTATCGCCGATGGACTGACTGTTGCGGGATTGGTGTATGTTGGTGCGACGGGGGACAAAACGGCCCGTGCGAGGCAATCACAAGGTTGATGTTTGGGTTTGCGTCTTCCACACCCGTTGATTGAAGGCCACTGCGAGCTTCCTATATAACTCGGCCAGCTCTGTTTGCAAGTTGTCAGTCCAGTCCAGCAAACACGCAAAGAAGGGCCACCGGTCATGGGTGGCTAGCGGCCACATGCCTCTCACGACGCACGCTCCCGTCGTCGCTGGAGGGCGAAATTACAACGCATCCACGCCAGGATAGCAGCATCGACTCACGGGACATTGACGCAGACAGCGATAGACCGCTAGTTTCAAGCGGCGGGAGAAGGGAGAGAGGCTTGTTTTGGTTTGCCTGGAGTGTGGGTTTGATGTTGTTTTCCTTCCCCAAGTGGACGATGACCTACCTCCAGAGCTAAGCTGAGGAGGAACCTAGCAAGAAAAAGAAAAAAAGATACAGGGCTAAAAATGAGGGGGGGGAGAGAAGAAGACAACTTCCTTGCAAAGAAAAGGAAAGTAAGAGAAAAAAGCAAAGAGGAAGAGGGAACAGGAAAAACCAATGGGGACAACGAAGCGCCAGAGGCCGACGAGAGACTATCACGCACCTAGTCAGTCCTCTAGAGCCGCTACACAAGCCGGGCTGTCTCGCGGTTTCTCACCCCCTACCAAGTGTCTCACAGCAAATTGAGCTTGGAAGCTGCTCTCGCCAAGGCCGGAGGAGATCAAATGCAGGGACAATGATTGCTAGAGGCTCGGCTTGCCAGGTAGTGCCTGGACAAGCCGCCGGCCGCGATGGTGGACAAGGACGTACTGCGGTGGCAGCCGGAAGGCCGCCTTTGTGCGACGCCGGCGACGGCACGGCACCGGGAGTGACTCCCGAGAGAAACCAGGTACCTGGTTTGGCGATTGCTCAGGTGGAGGGCGATTTGTCGTTGCTTTTTGCCTCAAGGCTTCGCGCATCTGGCTATTGTAGGTAGATCAAGGTCAAACCTAGTCTCGGGTCGTCATATTTCCGTTCTTGCCTGCTGAGCTACTGAGCATGAGACAGCGGTAAGTCGTAATTGCCAAAGACAAAGCAGGCGGTCTATCATGGATGATGACGCCCTTGTGTTTTGTACTTCCAAGATATAAGGGGCCAAGAGTCCTCAGCTCCTTCCTACTCTTGCCATCTATCCAAGCAGGTACACCGACTCTTCAAGTCTCTATATATACTCGTCCTCGTCAATATTTTGTCTTTCGACTACATCTCCCACAGCCTTGTTTCTTCTCCAACCCTTACGCTCTCTTCTGACCTTAGAGTCCCGACATTCTTTGCCCCCAATTACCCAGAGCCCCCATTTCCGGCAGTCACCAGCTCGTCCGTCTTCGTTCATTCGCAATGGCGTATCCCGCGGCCGGCCCTGTCGTCAACTCGACGCTTGTTGCTCCTCCTCATGAGCTCAAGCTGCCTTATGCTCCTGCAGAAATGTCGAGTTTGCCCCATGGTTTCCCTGCCGGCTTTTCCTCGCCCCTGGCTTGGACCGGACAGCAATTTGCTCACCAGTCTGACTACATCCACCACCTGGATGCGGACGAGATTCACGAGATTGAAGCCGCTCTCAAGCACTTCAAGGGTGAGAGCCGACTGCCATTGACAATACTGCTCCGGACCTCACATACTGACTGCGTCATAGCACTGGAATTGGATGGAGATCTCGCCACCCCTGACAATTTCCCGCTTCCCACGGTTGGCCCCAAGGTGCTGAGCCGTATGCGCAGCGATATTTACCAGGGAAAGGGATTCGCTGTGCTTCGAGGACTCGACTCCAAGAAGTACTCTGTTGAGGACTTGACGACCATCTATCTCGGAGTCCAAGCACACATTGCCAACCGATTCGGTCGCCAGGACAAGAAGGGCAACATGCTGGGTAAGTGAGGGAGCGGCCGGCCCCAGATGATGCGGTAGACTAACAAATTTCTTAGTTCACATCATTGCCGACGACACTTCCAAGCAAAGGGCTGAGCACCACCGCCATTCGACTTCTCCCATTGTAAGTCACCTGCAATATGAGTACCATTCTCCACAGACGGCTGACGCAAGTGTGAACCACTAGACTTTCCACAACGAGGAGGCTGGCGACATCATCAGCTGGCTCACAAGAAACGCGGCCAAATCTGGAGGCAAATGCATTATCGCGTCGACCTACACTGTCTACAATGTGCTTGCGGCCACCCGCCCGGACCTGATCCGCACGCTGGCTCGATCCGACTGGCCTTTTGCTCTGTGAGTAACCTTGAGACTTTGATGATGCTATTGCGCCAAGACGCAAGCTAACCTGACTGTGTCTCACTCTAGGCCCAAGTTCCAATGTCGACCCGTTTTCTTCCACCACGACGGCCATCTGATCACCAACTTTGGTAGAGCTGCTCTCATGGGGAGCGCCAGCCACGCTAGACCTGCTCACTTGCCAACACTCACTGCTGCCCAAGTGGAGGCCCTGGACGCTATCCAGGATATTGCCGAAGCGACCAAGTTCGAGTTCACCACCCAGCCAGGCGACATTCATTTCATCAACAACCTGGCGGTCCTCCACCGACGCGCGGGCTTTGTCAACGGCTCTGAGCCCAACCAGCGCAGGCACCTTGTTCGCATGCGGCTCCGTGATGACGAGATGGGATGGGGCATTCCCCTTGAGCTGGAGGATGAGTGGAAGAAGGCCTTTGGCGAGACGGGAACCCGTGTGTGGCACCTGGAGCCCATGCCTTCTGGCTACTTTCCTCTGCGATCCCAGCCCAACTAGGGTTGGAAGCTATCAGCTGACTGGCCAAAAGGCCTCGAAGCTCTCCCCCAATCAGGGGATTTACGAGATACACGGAGATGGGGGGAACAGGGTGTTGAGGCGAGAGCCACTAATGGACGGGGAAAGGCTCCCTCCCCCTTTGACGCATAGACTCTTCTGTCCGCCGGGCGCAACTGCATTGAGGTCGGCGTTTTTCTGGCACATGGAAAAAGAAAAAACGACACAAAAAAATTATAGACCGGGGTCTGTTTCCCTTGCTTTGTTTGATCGAAATAATATAGATAGACGGATGGGGATCAGTCTCCGCCAAAGATGCGCTCACGCCGGCACGAAAAGGTAGAACGGCATAGAATAGAGCTAGGTACTAATTAGATTGGTCCACAATGAAAATGTGTTTATACTCATCATCCGATTCGCCTTTTTCTCTCTTTCTTTTTTATGAGAATGAGTGGTGGCTGGAGCTGGGGTGTGAGGACTGATTACGCAGGAGGGGAGTGACAGATACGAAGACAAAGCGCAAACAAGCCATGGCGAATCGATCAGGGCGATCCATTGCTTCATCTTGCATGATGCCAGATGCAACTCCCTGCACTGTAGATGAAGATGCAGCCTGACAAGCATGGTCATGGCCTTTCAGCAGCAATTTGCGGCCTCCATGGCACCCCCGATTGGCGATGGACCTCGAGCTGGGGGAGCCTGTCATTTGATGGACGTCGAAAGTGGAGCCCGCGCTTTGCCTCTAGTCTGAACCAGACCGTTGGGATGCCGACACAATTACAGTGGTCACGAGACCAGGATGTCCGTTTGATTCAGCCGCTTCTTGCAAGGATGCGTCGCTTGAACCTGGTCTCGACTTGCCATACAAGGCATGCAGTCAAAGTACGTATGTACATACTACAGGCAGTGGTAGTAGTACAGGTATGGCGGTCATGATGTCTCACGCAGAACTTCTGCACTTGATTCAGGGTAATATTGGCCAATGGGCTGGCTGTCTATGTATCTGATGGACTGTTGGTTGGAGATAGAGGTTACACAGTAGTAGCTTAGACGCGGCAGGCGGTGGCCTTGGCTCTAGACGATGGGAACACAGAGCAGGGCGAGTGGCGAGGACGGACAAAAAAGAAAAGAAGAGACAGAGGGCGCAGGCGGTTCAATGTGCTGGTAATAAATGTCTTGGGCGGGATAGAGGGCTGTGGGGGAGAGACGGCGGTGGCTTGTTCAATGTTGTAGTTTTCTCTTACTTGACTGGGTAGGTATCCAGTACGAGTACGTGTAAGTTGGTGGTTGCCGGGAGTAGTGCATATCACACTTCGTATAAGCCTGAAGCTGAACGGAGGGGGTGATGAGCACCAAGGTAACACTAAAAGAGGGGGGCAACTGAAAAAGCAAAAGAGAGAAAATAAAAAGGAAAGGAAAAATGGGAGAAGAAGAGAAAACAAACTATGCATTGATGCTGAGCTGAATGGGGGGTGTGATGTTTTGGTATTGAGGCTATGCGCGGTATTGGCGAGGAAAATTGGGATTGGGTCAAGTACCTACCGTTCCTTGTACGACGTGTTCAGCGCGGGCGGGCGGCGTTTAGATGAGGTTACACGGGCGTCTCTTTTCTCTCATGCTGCTCTGTTTCAATTTTTCACTGCTTTTTTTGTTTTTTTTTTTTTTTTTTGTTCTTGAACTGATGTCTTGACTCGTTTCCTTCTTCTCTCTTCTCCCTTGCAGTTGGCCGGTCCGGGACTCCGTTTGTGTTGAACGCTGGGAATTTACGTATCCCGTGTCCTTGGTCTCGCCAATGGCTTTCAATTTTGTGATGAGTCGCAGAACTTGGAGCGGCAGAGCATTGGTAGGTTTGACTCAAATGATGTGGATGTTGTCTCCGACTTAGTAGATTGTGGCAGATTACCAGCTGCATGTCGCGGACCTTGCTGTCGGTGACGGTGATAAGACAGCCAAGACAGAAAGTGACAGAAAGAGAGAGAGAGAGAGAGAGAGAAGAGGAAGATCTAGGGATGGCGATCGGATGATGGCTGGGGGAACAGGGGATCGGATGACCGCTTTGAGGGTGTATAGGTAGGGTCATTGGGATTCCTGTGAGACATGGTTTTGATGGGTGCGTCATGGGGCATGGGTTGAGGACTACAGAGGAAGTGGGTTTACAGAGCACGCAATGGGACGTTTTACAGAAGGATAGTGGGATGAATTCGGTTGTTTGTGGTTTGGCATTGATAAGAGTTGTGTGTAAAGCAAAGTAGGCAGGCAGTAGTAGTCATGATGCCTCGATGTAAGACAGACATGACATGAGACGAAGCGAAAAGACCGTGTATCTACGCATGTCCATGATATCAAAAAGCTGGCCTCATCCAACGCGCAAGTGCTGACCCCCCGTCCCCAGGCAAACACAGAGGAAATCGAAAAGAATCCGATTGCCAAGGTTCCGATGCGAGGCACAGATGCCGATGCCCACACGATTCGATTCTCGTCACGATCGCGAGCCTAAAAGGGTTCCCCATCCCATGTCTCACCTCCAGGGGCTCCAATAACTACTAGTAGTTGTCACCTCGCTTGTTGTCCAGAAAAAAAAACGAACTTGCAAGCCGTTGTTGTGCTCTCGTTACATGCCGAGAAATCAAGCCTAGGGGACTGACTACCTAGCTGTTACCACTAGTGATACAGTGTCACTACTGGGGATCCGAAACGGCGGGATGCTTCCCCGTTGAACTTGGTGCACTTGTCTAGCGGGCTACAGCGTCGCCGGGATCCCGCTAAGAGTAACCCAGAACCGAAAATACAGTGCCATATATCCGATAACATACTGTACGTCCCTCGTCCTCGCCAGGGGCTCAAGTACCCTCTCCATACAGCTTAGTACAGGGAATAAGATACAGCGGCAACAAAACCACCCCCTTGCTTATGCGTGGGGCGCCTGTCTCAGTTAATTGGCAGCAGCTTCGAAGGTGTCTTCAGCTCGCAGCTCCATCCCTTCCTTAAGCGGTTCCATCTTTCAACCTCATCTCATCGCTTTTGCCATCACGGCATCATCCATCGCTTTCGGGGGACCAGAGATCAGCCGCTGCTGCGCCCTGCCAGCGAGTCGGACCCGGCTGAGGGCAGAGCGCTACTTCGGCGGCCCAGACAGAGGAGGCGGGTCGCATCAGTTGCTTGATCGCATCGCGTCGCATCGCATCGCATCGAATCGAATCGCCATCGTGCATCACATCGCATCGTACATACGGCTCCGTCGGCCTGGGTTGAGACAAGGGGCTGGGGGCAAGGACGGACACAGAATCCCCGATACAATTGGACAGACTTGCTGCTGCTGCTGCTGCTGCTGCTGGTAAGTACACACACCCCAAGTACACCACAGGTCGTCGTTCGTGTACGAGCACGAGCATCAGCCGCACCTCACGGGCTGAGACGCGCGTCTTGTGATCCCTTTCATCTTGTCTCCTTGTGCCCTCTTCCTGCCTGCTGCCGTCTTCGCTCTCGTGCTAATTGATTGGCCCGCCAGACAGAAGCTATTGACGGCCACGGCCAGCCAATTGCCGACTCGAGACTCGACATCCGTCCATCGCCATGCCCGTCTCGCAGCCAATCAACAAGCCCGCCCGCGGCGACACCTCAGACTACCGGCCGGTCCACCAAGACGACAGGCAAGACGACACCCAAGATGCCAATGAGGAGGAGGAGGGAGTGGCGTCCTCTGCCTACCTGCCGCCGCGCCGTTCGCGGGCCGATCGCCGGTACCGCACCACCATCCTCGTCCTAGTCGTGGCGCTCGTCGTCCTGCTGGCGGCCAACCTGTACCTGTCGCTGCCGTATCTGATCCCGGGCTCCGACTCCGGCTCGTGTCCGAAGCCGAGCAAGGTGCCCCAGTATTTCCAGACATCGCCGGAGCTGTGGGCCGGCCCGACGGCCACCGGCCGCGCCGCCTTCCTGGCCCAGACGAGGGCCTTTGATCCCACCGCGACGTTTGTGCCCAACGAGCCGCTGCAGACGGCCATCCCCGTCGCGGGCATGAAGCCCGGCAACGACACCATCTTCAAGATGATGGGCTACCTGTCCCCTTACTTTCCCTCGCCGGGCTTTGGCGTTGACGAGTACCCCCTTCCCCCGGGGGCCGAAATCGTCCAGGTCCAGATGCTGTCCCGCCACGGCGCCCGCTATCCTACTTCTGGGGTGGGCGTCGTAGACTTTGCCAAGCGCATTGCCAATGCCTCGGACAAGTTCAATCCCAAGGGGCCGCTGAGCTTTCTCAAGGATTGGGAGTATCATCTTGGATCCGAGATTCTGGTGCCCAAGGGCCGCGAGGAATTGTACAACTCGGGTAAGCCGACCTCACCCATTGCGTCAGCGATGAACTGTCCGAGTACATGCACCCCTGGGCATTACTGACATGTGTATAAAGGTGTGCTCCATAGCTACATGTATGGCAGGCTGTATAATCCCAAGAGCAAGATTATTGTTCGCACAACTGTAAGCTCACACATGGCGAAATTACACCACATCTGGCTGCTTGGACTAACAGCTTGCATAGACACAGGATCGCATGCTCAAGTCAGCAGAAAACTGGATGGCTGGCTTTTTCGGACTGGAATGGTGAGTGCTCCAAAGCTCAGCCCCTCTTTGAGCCTGGCTTACACAGTTCTCAGGACCAACAACGCAACTATTGAAGTCATCATCGAGGCCTCTGGCTTCAACAATTCCCTGGCAGGTTCACTCAATTGTCCGAATGCTAATTCCAAACACTCGGCCAACGAGGCCAAGCAGAAGTGGATCGAAACCTACCTCAAAGATGGTATGCCTCTTCTCCCCATCACAGCCATCCATTCTAATTTGGCCTCTGAGCATATTAACGTGCTAACTTACAATAGCTGTCCCCCGCTTCCAGAACATGACAGAGGGGTTCGAGTGGACCGTTGATGATGTCTACAATGCTCAGACCATGTGCCCTTATGAGACGGTGGCATACGGCTTCAGCATGTTCTGCAACTTGTTCACTTATGAGGAATGGCAAGGCTTTGGCTATTCCATCGATTTGTGGTTCTCGGGAGGCAATGCCTTTCAGAGTCCTGTCGGGGTATGTGTTCAAAGTGCCCAACCTAGCAATACAATCAAAGATCCAGAAACACTAACCCTATCGTCTACGATGCGCAGAGGGCAACCGGCATTGGGTACCAGCAGGAAGTCCTTGCCCGGCTGAAGAACCACACCCTCGGCTATTCAGGCTCTCAAATCAACGTCACCCTGGACAACAACACCGAGACGTTCCCGCTTAACCAGAGCCTCTACTTTGACTTCTCCCACGACACCAACATCATCTCCATCCTCACCGCGTTCGGCCTGCGCCAGTTCGCGGAAGACCTCCCAGCCGACCGATACCCGGGCGCCCACAACTTCACCGTCTCCCACCTGACCCCCTTTGGCGCCCGCCTCGACATTGAAATCATCAAGACGCCCAAGCCCGTCTCGCCCAACCGCGACGGCTACCTCCGCGGCGAAGAGCAAAAGTACGTGCACTTTGTCCTCAACCAGCGGACCATCCCCCTGGGCCTGAGCTTCCCGGAGTGCGACGCCAGTCGCAAGGACGGCTGGTGCGAGTTTGAGACGTTTGTCAAGATACAGGAGGGCATGTCTGCCAAGGCGAGCTACGATTATGCTTGTTTCGGCGATTATCCAAAGGAGCCTTTTGGCAAGATTACAGACGGTGCTCCGAAATGAGGGCGTGTCTGGTTTCCATCAAGGAGAGGGCGTTTATAATTACATGTCGACATTTCACAATTCCAAGCAACATACATACATGTTATTAAGTTACAAAAGGTAGGCGAATCAGGTAAAATCTACATAGTACAGGGCGCTCAGGAATATTGGCTCGAAATACGGAGTTTTTTTTTTTTTTTTTTTTTTTTTTTTTTTTTTTTTTTTTTTTTTTTTTTTTTTTTTTTTTTTTTTTTCTTGTTCTTATTTCATCAAAACGCTTCGTTTCTTAATCAAACTTGTGGAACTACTGGCATGGGTTTGATATAGAAAATCAGCAAGGAAGAGAGAAGCTTTTCGGCCGAACTGCGTTCTAGGTTACATCTTGGTTGAAGGGTTTCTATTGTCAGTATGTCCCTGAAGCATTCTCACTTGCTCAAGGGAGGCATTGTTTGCGCTCTTCTACAAGGACGCCAGATCTAAAGGGCTATAAGGGACTCTAGATCTCGAGGTCTACAGGTTGAAGGAGGTTGCACAGACGTATCAATATATAACTGTAATTCAAATGACGGTCTGGTCAATATCAATCCATCACTCAGAACATACGACGTCTACAGAGACACGAAATTCACCAACTGAAAGAGGGGCCCAAGTGGTATGGTTGAAGCTCAAACAAGGTATTCATTCATAGTCATCCACTCTCGCTGGTATCTAAGACATTTTGCGCTCTATTAAGCCATGCCATCCCGCCCAATCCAAGGCATCAAACGCCCAAAACGCCCGCTCATACGCACAACCCAGTATCGTAGCAATAAACATGTGTAAGTAAAAAAAACGCTTCCCAAACGCCAAACGCCCGATATCCAAACCCATATCCAAGAAAGAAAGAAAGAGAAAAAGAACAAGAAAAAAAAAAAGAAAAGAAAAAAAAAAAAAAAATACAATACCGCAATGCAAGTCGCAGCAAGAATGAACAAGAACAAGGAACGGCTTTTGTATAAACCCCCCAATTAGAAAGAAAGATTGAAAGGAAACGTCCAAAGCATGAAGAATGTTTAATCACTCTTCTCGGAGCTCTTCTCGGAGCTCTGGCTGCCTTCGGTCATCTCGGCACTTTCGGATCGCTCCCTGCCATCCCCAAAGGACGCAGCCTTCTTCTCTTCGCTCGTGTCTGCCAAGCTGGCAGAGCGGGCCATGTTGGCATGCTCCTGGATGCCGTGCTGGGGCTCGATCATGACTGTGGCTTCGTGCGCAGGCTCCTCGCGCTGGGGGCTCCAAGCCAAAAAGTCGCGTCGAACTTCGACATAATCGTAGGAGAATTCGCCGTGCTGGTCGTCGTCCATGCCAAGAAGCTCGGCTTCTTCCGAGGCACGCAGCTTAAGACCGGGGATGAGATCGATAATCTTGGCGATGATGGCGGACATGACAAAGGCGTAGGCAGAAGCCGAGACAATAGCAGCAATCTGCCACCCGATGATGACATAGTTGCCGTCGACAAAGCCACCGGCGAGACCGCTGTTGACTCCGTCGAGACCGATAATGTTGCTGCTCGCGAAAAAGGCGTTGAAAATGAGGCCGACCATGCCGCCGATGCCGTGTTCGGCGAAGACGTCGAGAGAGTCATCGATGCGGATAAGGAATTTGACTATTGGGCGGTTTTGTTAGAATTTCTGGCCGTTTCAATATCAAGCAGCATGAGAGGCAAGTAGAAGCTTACTCTTGGTGCTAAAGTTACAGCAGACGCCAGCAACAACCCCCAAGATAATGCTGGCCCATGGGGTTATGAAACCAGAAGCCGGAGTAGCAGCAACCAGGCCCGAGATGGTACCTGAACACCAACCGACCATGGACCACTTCTTGGCAAGGCGAAAATCAAGGAGACACCAAGTCATGGCGGCGAACATGGCAGTGAGACATGAGTTCCAACAGGCCATGACGGCTCGGAGGTTGGCTCCAAAGGCAGATCCTCCGTTGAAGCCCAGCCATCCGAACCACAGAAGGACGGTGCCGAGGGTGATGAGAGAGATGTTGTGGGGCCGGAAGTTCATCATCATCTTCTCGTTTCGGCGGCCAAGGACCCAGGAATAGGCAAGGGCTGAGACTCCAGAACCGATCTCGACAGGGACACCACCGGCATAGTCGAGGACGCCGTTCTTGAATGCCCAGCCGTTGGCGTTCCACACCCAGTAGGCCAGGGGGCAGTAGACGAGGGTGGCCCAGAAGAAGCAGAAGACCATGCTCGGGACGACCCGGCCACGTTCGGCAACGGCTCCGACGGTCAGGCAGGCGGTAACTGCGCAGAACATCATCTGGTAGAAGGAGTAGAGGAGGGCCGGGATCAGGGGAGAGCCAACAGACGGGGTGGCCAAGACCCTCTGGAGGCCAAAGTGGTTGAGGTTGCCGATGTATGCATTGTTGGAGGTCGAGCTGAAGGCTAACGAGTAGCCCCAAAAGTACCACTGGAAGACGATGACACTAAAGGACATGAGGGTGACCCAGAGCATGGACAGGGCCGACTTTCGACGAGCGAGGCCCGAGTAGAGAAAGGAGACGCCAGGTACCATGAGAAGCACCATGCAGGCGCTCACGAGGATGAAGGCCTGGTCTCCGGACTGATACCATTGGTTCAGGTTTTCGGTTCCTGAGGCAAAGGCTTGTCAGTTTCTCGCGGCCGTTTCACCGCTGCGACAGTGACTTGCATATTGGGCATGTTGGAGAGATGGGGACTCGTGTGCTACAGGAGAACGGGGTCGAGGCAAGGCTAATATCGTTTACATACTGGCATCACCGCCCAGGGAGCCTGTCCCGTTGAACACGGTCGGTGCCCCTAGATGGGCGTAAGACATGATGGGCTAAGCGAAACCTGGGGAAGTCGTCGAATAGAAGTCGGAGAAAGTAGCCACGAGGACTAGGTAGGAGAGCGAGAGCGAAAGATACGACGCGGCAGTCAGACGAGGCGAGGAGAAATCGAAGACAGGTCGGATGCCGGCACAGCCAGGGCGAGGTTCCGGGAGGCAGAGGGAAGTACAGCGAAGCGTTCTGATAAGGTTGCAGAAGTAAGATGCCTCCTTCAGGTTCGACCAGAGATAAGGCGTGCAGGAGAGCAGGAGAGATGAGAGGAAGGAGAGGGCAGGACCAAGATAGGAAGAAGGACGGAAGAGGAGGAGGAGGGCAGGGAGATAACAGACAGGCTTAGATCCGTGGTATATAGCAGACACCATCGCCGTGAACCAGCCAGTCCCCAGGCAGTCCCCGATTTCGACAGCACGGCGACAAACCGGGTGCAATACTAGCCAGCTGGGGCCACTGTCAAGGACCGCCACGCCTCTTGATTCTTTCCTCCATCAATCAGCCCAGCGCCGTGGCCCTTGCAACCAGAGCCAGAGCCAATTACCCCAGACAGGGCCAGAGATAAGACACCGGGGGTGGGCCGTCTGGTGTTGCCTGTACTCGTACCCAGAGCAGAGCGTGAGCGGCGGATTGGCATCGTCTCGGAGAGGCCCTTGGGGGGTGGCCACAGGGATCTGGGGGTGTAGGTTGTCGCTCTGCTATCTCATCTCACTGTTCGTTATCTCGGGGCGAGGGCTGTGGGTGGATGTTGGAGCTAAGGGCTTAGTTCGAAGCGCGGCGCGAGTCCGCATGGCTGGCATGGAGGCGAGAAGCCGTCGATAAAAGTGAGAGCGACAATTGAAGCCTGCGATTTGATCGAGACGAGTGATGATGGATGAAGCTTTGTGATGGAGAGAAGAGGAGAACTTTGGTGTGTCGTTTCTCTTTTCATTCTCTCTGGCTGTCAGGGCTCTGCATGACTTGATCGGTGATTATGAGGCAAGAGCAAACCACAATCATGATCAATGGCCAGAAAGAGCGACGAATTATCAGATACACAACTGCAAGTACTAGGTACCTTGTACCCGGCGCCGAGGACGGTACAAAGTACACGCTCTCCGTCCCTGAGTGCCCGTGAGATACGGGTGAGATGAGAGATAAGGTAGGTAGGGCATGCATAATCCGCGGTACGTACGACAAACGACAACAGACAGGCCAAAGATACGGTCATTGAAATCAGGCGGTACGTTCCCGGCATGTACATGTATCTTTTCTGCATGCTGGCCGATAACGCTAGGCGGCAATCGCTCTAGCGCGGAGACAACAATAGAACATGCAAGTGCAGCGCAGATTGCCGGGCCGGCCAGGTATCGGCGGAGTATCGGTGAGGCCGCAAACAGGGGGGCCTGGGTTTTTCGGTTCTTTCTTTGGGCTGAGGCCGGATAAGCACCTTCAAGCACACATTTTCCAACCACCCTGAACATTTTCGTCGGGTTCCTTTTTCCTCTTTTCTTATTTTGTGTTTCTAATTGTCTACCTTATTATCTAGGATCTCACGCTTAATGCTAGGGCAATCTGTTAGATTTCAGGAACGAGGAACAGGCTGAAACACGTTACGACAACTCAGTCTCTTCCTTGCCGGTGTTCGGCCTGAAGCCCGAGGCAAGGCCGATACACAGAGAGACAGCTGAGCCGACAATCCGAGGGTACGAAATCGAAAATCTCCTTGCTTGCATCTGCGAGGTACAGCCAAAATTCTGTTGCATCGTACAACACCGCTCTTATTCTCCATTATACTACTACCTCAGTAAACACATGCAGCAACAAGGGGCTGCATGGAAGCACGTCGGAAGGTACAGCGACTTGTCGACAGCCCCGTCTCTTCAGCTTGTGCCGAGCAGAAGATAGACAATAATATCGTACCTGCTTCGTCCAACCTTACCGCTTTGCTCCCCGTATTAGTCCATGCCGTCACTCCATCATGTAAATGCTGATAAGCCCACTTCTTCGGGGGCGGGAGCGGGCACCGTTGGGGCTTGTCCAGTGGGGGCAGACAACAGCCGCGCCCTTTGCTTACTTTTGCTTGGCTTCTTATTTGCATCTCTAGAGCCTCGTACCTGAGGAAGGCCGAATTTCGGTGATACAAGTATAGTAGTACAGTTATTAGTAGGCTGCTTTGGCACCTTACGATTCGACGACAATGGGCTCCGGTACGGCATTCTCGTCCGTCAGGAAGGGCGTTCCGGCCGGTTCGGGCGTCCATTAGCTGAGTGTCAAGAGCTGGTATTATCCACCAACCGCCAGACTAGGATCGATGTGGCGTCAAGTCATCGCCGACTGTGCATACAGAGGCTGACAGGGTATGCTGCCACCGTCCACAGATTGAACTGGCGATGAGCCGCGGATTGTGTGTTTCACCACATCACGTATCACAACTCTATCGAAGAATACAGTATGTATGTTACCGATGCTGCGGTCACGGGATGGAACCTGGCCGTCTCAGACATGGCTAAGGGGGGAAGATGGAGGAAGTTCAGAAAGTGAGAGAGAGCAATCTCGCCTCCAGCTGATCTTCACATAGCCCGACCTGGATATCTCACTCATACTATCAGTAGAATAATAAGGCAACATCTCACGTGCACACAAGAGAAGCCCCAAGCCCGAGAAAATGTCGTGCCACAATAACAAAGAGTCGGAACCAGGAAGCACGATGAAAACTCGATTCATTACCCCAGTCCCATGTAACCCCCGCCTCCTCCTCCCCCCATCGATCCCGCGCGTCCGGACAAGCTCTTCGATCCTCGGTTACCCGTTCATCGGCCCTGTTTCATTACATGAACTACTAGTAGTACTAGTAGGGGGCTCCGAGTGCAAATCTCATATAGAAAACAGACAAGAAGCACATGAAAATTATCTCGGCGGCGCGGTTAAAGCCAAGTCGAGCCCAATGTTTCGTTATCAGGCGACAGCCCGACCAATCGCGGGCCCGCTTGCTCATTACGTTTGAGAAACCCCGATTTGGCGATTTGCGGAGCCAGCAACCCTAAGGGCCCGCGCCCGCGTCAACAATCGTCCGATCGCCGTCGATGAGCCGACTTGGCAATTTTCCTGTTTTTGCTGACGATGATGATGCCTTAACCTGGATTGAATGCTGGCGAATGTCGCACTGAAGAGCGTTGAAGATGTCATGGGAATGGCAGATCATCCTCAAGCAGGGCGATGGGAGATGGACTGCCCGGACGAAGAGCATCAGTTCGAGAGCTCACCAAACGATCTAGACCAAGCCGACTTGATATGATGAAGCCGTTCGACATTGTATCCCGCTGGTACGACTTATCTATGATTTTTAGAAACGTCGAACCGAGCAGATGACCTCGACTTTGGAGGAAAAGGTCAAACTGCGAAGCACCACGATCGAATCGCAGGCTATTGATCTCCTCGTCATTTCAGTTGAAACCATGTGAGATGGCTGAACAACAAAGTCTCGGGATGGGGTCTCCATCAAAGAATACATCTCCATCAGAAGGTTGCAATACTTTTCGCTATGTCAGAAGAAGCTGAAAGCACTGACGAGGACGCGTTTCGTCATTGCACACACAAGTCCGGCTGCCGAAAATACACCCAGAGAGCGACGCCCCCCCTTTGACGAGACAGACGAGTCACTTGATCTAATGTTGAGAGGCTGCGACAATGTACTTTCCTGCAGACAAAAAGGGTAACCAGGGCCCCATCATTCCCCTTGATTCATATGGATATGGGGGCATACAGAACCTCCTCTTCGGTGATGAATACAATATCACTGCCATGATTGATCGGGAGTTTTCACAGTCCGCTATCCTGGGAAGTCTTCCTCTACTGCCAGGTCACTCTCTAGACGACAGTTTCAAGTGGCTGAACGAGGGCTTGAAAAGAAAAGTGATTCTGCTCTGCGGTGTTCGGTTGCCCGATGTGTTGGAAGGGCAAAGCATCCAGGATATACGGGCTCGTCGAAAGAATTGGTTCCTTCACTGGCATGGAAGAGGAGACTTACATAGGAGCTCGTTAGACTAGGCTACGGGCTCACAGGCTGGGAAGCAGAACAGCACATTGACAAGGTAGAAGACGAGTTTAGCACTGGACAGGACAAGTGTTCATGTTAAAGCATGCGTAACAGCTGTGAGCCCTCCTTGCCTCCATGATATTGCCGCCAAAACAAGGTAGAAAGAACATGCAAGGTAGCCGACTCCAACACCCCCAATCATGATCAATGCTATCAAGTCGGCTCAGAAAATGCAAAGCCGCCCAGTTTGCTCCTCCCTCGTAATTTCGTACGTCAAGATATCATGATTCCGATAATGCAGCATCAGTCTATACCTCTTCGGCGCCGTCGCCCGACCCGCCGCATCACCACCACTCATGCCATCGTCGTCCTGCTCCTGCTGCACCGGCCCAACCGCCAGCCCGTGCAGCGGCCGCAGCACCGGTCGGTGTGCCTGCTCGTCTGATAGCCGAGGTAGAACGCACTCTACCCGAAGCCCGTGATGCCACATCCCAGCCGTCTTCGCTACGATGGGCGTCTTGAGCTTCGTTGGGGTGATCAAGAGGACCCGGCCAATGGGCGATCCTACTACAACCAGTGAGAGCTCTGGCACATGGAACAGCAAGCTCAGGCGGCTAGTCGCGCGGAAGTATGGCCGGATACTTCGTTCTTGGAAGCAGCCGAGCGTGAGCGCGTCGGGGCACAAGACGCCAATCTCTCGGAGTCCCGTCTCGTACACCCCCCGGAGACTCCTGAGCTCCAGGTCCTTCTCAAACGTCCGAATAAAGTGGTATCGTTTGGTCAACTTCTTAAGGCGATCTTCCACTGGCGGTCCAACGTTGTTATTGAACTCAATCGGTCTCCTGAGGAAATCGAGAAGCTGGGCTGGGGACCGTGGAACGGCCTGAATCTTTCCGTTGTGCGGGAAAAAAGCCATGTCGAGTCGAACTGGAGGCGAGCTGAGGTGTTTGTGGCTGCGCTGTTTGAACAGCACGGGATCAGGCTTTCTCTTCTCAAGAGGTGATCCCGGGATGTCTTGATCCTGGAAGCTCTGAGGTTGAGCCGACGCTGGGTTAGGAGAATCCGGAATAGAGATGGCCTCCTGGAATTCCTGCACGGCGTAAGCGAGCTGTCCAAGCGCTACGTCTAGATCTTGTAGCGCTTGCTGGAATTGCTGTCCTGCTGGTGGGGTTGGAAAGAGAGTTGCGCTGCCGCCCTGGTCTGCAGCAATGACTTCTGGGTTCCCCTGAGCAACAATGACATCTTCAGCCTCTTCAGCCTCTTCGTCTCCGTCCTCCGCATCCTCCTCACCCCCCTCCTCCTCTTCTTCCTCCTCATCTTCACCTTCACCTTCATCTTCATCCTCAACCTCGTCCTCAACCAGCTGCAATATATCTTCAGACACTGTAGATGCGGCGTCGCTGTCGTCGCTTTGGCCGCCCCCGGCCAGGTCATTGGCGGGAACCGCCTCGCCTACGAGAAATTGTAAAGACTCGTCATGCGACATATTCAGAATGTTGCGGTAGAACTGACCGGCCCTGCCCCCCAGCGTGGGAGGGGGGCATGGGTTGTCCGGGATGGCTGCGAGGCACTCGGCCACGTTCACCATCGGCTGCGGACACCCCGACCCAGGCTGGAAGACGTTGAGCGCCTGCTCGGGCAGCCCGAGCATCTCGTCGAGAGTGTCGACTGGCACAAAGCTTTCTTCGGGAAGAGCCATCACTCCCCATCCCCTAGAAGAAAAAAGAACAACTCGTCAGAGCCTCGCCTCACTTGGTCGTTGCGGTCTGGAGACTGCTTGCTTACCTTGAGGATGCTGGCCAAAACTCTTCACTTTGCAGTATGAGATGCCTTGACGGAAGAACTTGTGTGACGGGCTGAAACATTTTCCATATATCTGCCATCCACATGACCCCCTTGATATCCACCGCGCACACCTTTTCAGCCTGACCGTCCTCGTCGTCGACGAAGCAGATGTTGGGGATATTGGACGCGTGACTCCCGAGAGCCACAACGATTCTCCAGTTCCGGGCCCTCCTAGGCACACTCGGCCTGGCGCTATCGTTGCTCTTGCAGCAGTCGCAGAATTCCCGTACCTCTTTTGACTTCTTCTGACAAGTGGAGAGGGCAAACGCAAAAACCGTCACCTCGAGGCGATTCGTGCTCACGGCTATCAGGCGGGACTTGCGGTGTATGGCCAAGCCCCAGGCCGTCTGGCCGACATTCTCGTGGAAGAAGAGCCTCGGTGGACGGCTGGGGCACCCTCTCTCGGACGTCTTTTTAGTTCGGGATGCTGAGGCTGCAATCTCCTTGACATAATACGCGACAACGTCTCCATCGTCATAACAAGCCACCAGAATCTCCTCTTTCCCAAGAAATCCGGTAATGATATGATTGATGGTATGCGGAGTGACGGGATCGATGCAGCCGCCAATAGAAAGAGCTTCCTTACTCGGAGCAGCATAGATCTGTAGGTCCGGGTGTCGGGGTATCGTCTGTTTCGGGATGCTTCGGGGCATGTAGACGAAGATGTGGCCTTGATAGGCGACAAAGTAGAGCTAAGCCAATGGCAAGGGATCACGGAGTTCCTCGTTAGCTGCGGCCATGACCGCGAAAGCGACTCCTTCCCAAGCGCACATACATTGCAAGCTTGCGACAGCGCAGTCAAGTTGTTCCGATAGCCCTGCATGCTCGGGACAAGCCGATATATCGAATCGTGCGAATGCCCCCCCTCATCCTGTCCATCGATACTCGGCCAGTTGAACGGCGCCTCAAGCCCCTCCGGGTTCATTCCCAACGCCGTTCGTTCTCGATCTCGAATCGCACCTTTGGCATCATTGCCAAACTACGACGTCGGTTCCATGACATGTCAGCCCTTCCCAGTTCCAACCGCGCCCCCCCAACACCGGCCGAATCTCCACGGCAGCAAGCCCCCATGGAAGAACTTACTCTATCGGTCGCCGTCTGCACATAGCATCGTCCCACAGAAACGGTGCGAAGGCTAGGAGCCGGCGGCTTGCTCGAAGGGCGATCCATGGCGGCCGAGCGGAAGAGAGCCTCGCCGGTGCGGGCAGACTGCGCGATCTCGCAACATATAATATAGCGAACAGCAGCGGCAGATGAAGAAGTGGCGAAGCAATTGGGAGATGCAGAGTCGGCCCGGGGCTTGGGGGAGGAGATTGTTGGATTGTTGGGTGCGAGGTAGATGCAGAGAAACAGAATAGAAGGCCAGGGTAAACTGGTGGGGAGACGACTGAAGTTCGAAGCTCTTCAAGGAGCAGAGCAGCGATACAGCAGCGGCTGGGACCCCACATTTTAGCGCTGTCAGGTCACTGTGCTGCGTTTATCGATAAAGCACCGCAAACCTGTGATGGCGTCACTGACAACTGACAGCATCCATACCGAGAATCACACGGCAGCTCACTCGCCTGACTTCCACTCTCCAAGTACGACGGCAGATTGGGGAACCTTAAGAGCAGTGTATATAAAGTGGTTATCGCCATAGAATCATTCCATCTCAGGTCATGCTCCCATGGAGGGCGCGCTGTAGAAAAACCCCGCTAAACGCCTCCAAGTGCAGCTGTGCGTACCTATACTCGCCAAACTACATCCTTAACTTACACCAAGGTATAACATCCCATATAAACTCCGTCTCATGAGAAATCAACCAATCGAAAACACAAACAATCATAACATGAACATCAAAAGGCATGGCATCCTTCATTGCCGCATCAGCTCCTGCAAGTCCTTCATCCGATAGTCCAGCACCGGCGTCACCCAGTCGTCCTGCACCAGCGAATACGACTCCGTCTCATTGTCCCTCGGCTTGCGCGGATTCAACGCCCAGTACCCGAAATCCGCGTCAATGGACTTGAGGTAGCGCATCAGGTTGCGCCAGTAGTGCACGTCGCCCACGGACGGGTTGCTCGGCGCCCCCAGCTCGCCGAACCACACCGGCGCAATGTCCACCTCGAGCAGATACGCCCAGTTGCGCCGCATCGTCTTGACAAACGACTTGTAGCTCCGCTGCGCGAACCGGCCTTGCCAGCTGCCCCAGCCAGACCACTTGTAGCCGTGAGCAGAGTAGACGACCTTGTTCTCAACGTCCAGTCGCACCGGACGGTCGAGAGCGCCGGAGACGTCGTTGGCCGACTCGGTGCCTTCGACGATAATGAGCCAGTCCGGGTTCATCTTGAGCAGCCGGTTGCCACACTTCTCGGCAGCGGCGGCCCATTTCGACCAGGGCATGGTTCCCCAGAGACCCCGGACCTCGTTGCGGAGATCGGCTCCGATGACGAGCGGGTTGTGGACGAAGCGCTCCATGACCTCCTCCCAGTGCTGGATCCATTCCTCCTCCGTCTGCTTGACGGCGCACAGCGGCCCCAGGTGGTCGTTTGCCCAGCCGGCATCGCAGGGGTCTGCGCCGCAGCACCATGTCGCGCGCGTGATGTGGTTGTTGATGACGACGGCAATGCCAGCATCCGTCAGGGCCGTCGTCACTGCTTCCAAGACGTCCAGGGCGCGGAGGCCCTGCAGATCCGGGTTCGCAAGCACCAGCCCCGCCTCAATGACGGGATTCTTCATGACCAGCTCATCCGCGTACGGCAGTCGGACGCTGTTGAAGCCCATCTTCTTGATCGTATCGGCAATGGCGCTGCGGTGCTGGACGTCCAGTCCGCCGGGGACAAACAGCTCGTCGCTGGCCCCGTACCAGTTGATGGACGACAGCTTGAAGCGATGGCCGTCCGCATCGACAATGCTCCGCCCCTGCGTCCTCAGCGGCAGCTTGTAGCTCGATATCCACGTCCGCTCCAGGGGCGCGGGCAAGGGCTTCCTGCTAAACAACAGCGACTCGCGATCGGGCCACCACTTGGCATTAAGGTCCTGCTCCCTGAGGTACAGAAAGGTCAGGTACAACGCCGCGGGCAGCAGCAGGACCATCATCGCCATGGAAAACCTTGCCCTCAGCTTCGACCAGACCCAGAGCCTTCGCGACGACGACGCGCTGCGCTTGTTGGCCCACGCCCGGGAGACGTTGGCCCTGCTCGCTGCGGATGGTGCAAACAGCGGCAGACCCTCCTCCGCGTTGGCAGCGTCAGCGTCCTCATGGTCGTCGACTGATTGGCTCCAGTGCACATGACGCTCAGGCTTGTCGGGCTGCGAGGCGTGGTTGCTGTTGTCACTGTTGCCAGAGCCCAAGTTGGAGCCCGAGCTGGAGGCATCGACCATGTTGCCGCTGATCAGGGCGTCCGCCGCCATACTGATGCTTCTCGGCCGTGGTGCAAAGGATTCAGGTTGCTTACACGACCAGAACAACAAGGCCGGAGGTCCCGCAAGGTCAGCAAGGCAGAAAAAGTAGAAAGAATAGCCCACTCTAATGTTCGCCTCCTCTTTCAATCTTTCCCCCTTGTCTTCCCTTGTTATTCCCTCTCTTTCTTTTTCTCTTCGATATCTCTACCGTCTCTTTCTTATGTCGGATGTCTCACTGTGCGGCGATGGCGTTGATCAACCGTGCAACTCGCTCCAGCAATGGGCAGGCAGATAGTCTGGATGTCGCGTGCTCGCATCCGTACCCAAACGCTCATGAAATCGTCAGGCTCGCTCCCTCGCTCTTGTCTCACCAACAAGTGAATGTTGTCAAGCCACAGGCGCAAGACCCAATGTCGGAATCCTTTATCTCGTAAGACCACGAAAAGCGAAAGGCCGAGATCGAGAAAGGTCCGGTTCCGGTGTAACACGACGCACGACACAGGAACACACGGCAGAGGGGGCGGTTGGGAAGGATCAAAAGGCTGGATCCAGGCACCAAGAACGAAGCAAGAGAAAAATAAAAGAAGGAGACAAAGAACAAAGAACAAAGCCACCCGGCATTGAATGTATTATAAACAAAAACAGCAGACAGCAACAGGCACCATGCAACGATTTTCACCGTCAGTTGCCCTTCGGGCCAATCGCGCCTGCGGGCCTTGATCCGGAGAACCCGGCACGGTGACTATCTGTAAGAATATCTTAGCTATTCCGTCCGCGAGCGGCAATCGAATAGGTAATGACCTCACTCCGAATACTACCTTGCCTTGAAATACTCCGTACCTGGTAATACATACCTTACTGCGGAGATATTCAACCACCATGTTCAACGTGCAGGGCCAGCGCGCGCAGTTTCGGCACTTTTCACCTGTCCGATCCCCGCGCGCGCAAGTGCTCCATACTGGTGATAGTATTGTCGTCCCACCTCGGCAGGTACTTTCATGCGCATCGTGATTCTTGCGGAGTTGGGTACGCGTATATACGAAGTAGCTGAGTCTGCCATCATCTGCGACCATGCTGGCTTTCAAACGTCGTGGATATAAAGTACAGAGCGATAGGATATATACATAAAATGGTATGCTGTGTAGCAATCATGCGCATCGTGCCCGTCAACACCTCGCGGACCGAACAGTCAATCCCGCCAAAGGACAAGCTGCCAGTTCTTAGACCAGGCACTAGCACATCTTTTCTTTTTTTCTTGTTCATCATCATCATCATCTCTCTTCTTCCCTCTCGCCGGTTCCTGCGCAGTCAACCCGGCCCTCCCGCCGCTTCCGGATACGCTTCTAATAAGTCCCCGCCATTCCGCATCCCAAATTGTCCCGTCTCTTGAGCTGCTTGTAATTCCGTACTGGATGACAGCCTTTCCCGTAGTAATGAATAGCTACCACAAGGTGCCTAAGCAGCAGGCGTGCAATGCAGATCCCCAGTGATGTTGGCCTCCAGCCTCCAACCGCGTCGGGGGAGGCTGTCGCGGAGGCTACCGAGGACTTGACCCTGTCGTTGCAGGGCTCTAGAACGAGGCCCTTTCATCATGACAGCGCATCCTCTCGTGTGTGTATAAGGAATGACGAGAAAAGAAAAGAGGAAATGATGGTCTAATATGTACAAACAAAAAATAACAACCGTGGCGCCACGCTGTCCTGTGTCCGAGAGAGGAAGCCGTTCGACCGCAAGTAGAGACGTTGCGTCCCCACGCGATCCTGGCAGAGGGATAGGTAGTATTAATGTAGAGATGTAAAAGAGCGTCGTCGACGCAACATCATGCCGCATCGCGAGATGACTGGACATGTGGCGTCACCTCCAGGGTGTAGTTGTTGTTTCCATAGCCAGCCATGGAGTGGGTATATAAGCAAGTGCATTGCCAAGTTGTTCCGTCTGGCTACGGGAAACGGGATCGGTCTCCCGACTCTCCCCCTTTTCTCCTCCTTCGATATACTCATCGCTCTTTTTGTTGTTTCAGCTCTGATCGGGTTTATTTGGTTTGTTGGGGTATTTTTTTTTTCTCTTCTCATCGGCCAAAGTGCGGCGTCTTATATGCGGTTCATGCCCAAGGGGTTCATATCGCGGCCTTGCGGGGCGGCGTATGTCTTTTGCGCATCCCACTCGGGCAGGGAGCCGTGCGGCGGCCGCGGGTTCGAGTACGATCGCGCTGGTGCGTGGTACCTGGCCGTCTCGCCAAAGTAGTCGGGGGCCTGAGGGCCCGCTGAGGATTTCACTGGATCAAGTGGTGTTACCGCAGCGCTCGTATCTCTGGAGAGCATCTCGTACGAACGTGTGTCTTTCTGGCTTTGGTATCGGGCATCCACCGATACGAATTCCTTCTTCCTGCTATTGAACGGAGACTTTACCAGATCAATCCAGCCGGTGACCATGGTCCAGCGGCCGAGGAGGAACAAGATCCAAATGCCGTTCAGCTAGGTGCCGGACGAGTTAGTAACTGAGGGAGTTCGGTGCTCGAATGCCTTGAAATGATTGCAACACTTACAGAAAGCAGGACGAGCACGGCCGATACCGTCGCTTCACTCACGACGAGGGAGCCGGCTTCATTCAGGCACTTCGTCTTGTCGCCCTGAGCCCCGATGAGGCAGACGATCCACTTCTCGGCTACCTTGGGGTCGTCGTCAATGGACTGGACAATGTTGTCCTGGAAGACGAAGACGACAGAGAAGAAGATGACGTCGGCAATGATGATGAGGACAATGGCAATGCCTCTCCACTGAAGAGCAATGACTCGTCGGACTCGGCGGTAGGCTTGGCGCGGAGACATGGTGATGACGCTGTTTGTGTAAGTCGGGAGGTTGGATCCTTCCGT